CGGCTCGGGGGGACACCCCCCGGTCGCCGGGGCCGGCACCCCGCCGCGCTGCCCCGCGGAACGGCTCGGCGTGGGACGGGACGGGACGGGACGGGGGGACGGCGCTCCACGGGTTCCGTTTCCTGTGACTGGGGCAACAGCGGTTTGCAAACCCGCCGCGCTTCTGGCAGATCCTCGGGTGTTCGGGGAGCTGCGTAAAATAACGTTTGCCAAGCCAGCATGATGCTCGTGAAATGAGAGGGGAAAAAAAAAAGTCTTGCATGTTGCCTTTGTACTATAGAAACTGGGGGTGTGACTCAATTTCTAAACCACCTACACTCCAGGGATGCCACCCAATCGCTGCCTGTGTGCTTTGCAGAGCTCCTCCCCTCTCGTTTTGGCTAAGCAGAGACCTTTAGAGAAACTGCCTGTTCTGGCTCCTGCAGACTCTAACATATAAAAGCTGTTAGCAGCTCCTGTGGCCAGAAGCTTCAAAACCAGCAGAGTTTTGTTCTTTGGGGGTTTGTAATAAGAGACAGTCCTTCACAAAGGTTCATATCATCATATAGGAGAGTGCTATATATACTGGGAGAACAATAGACTGTATTCTTTTTTTTTTTTTCTTTATATTATTCCAGAGGTAAGCCGTTCAGCTCAGTAAGTTTGTTTTGCATGCAGTTTTATCAATGCTCATCACATTTTGCTGAAGATTTGAATGCTCTTTCTAAGATGTCTTGCTTTCATGCTTTATACGTTGTCTCTTGCCTACTAGTTTATCTGTGACACACTGTGTCAAAACAATCCATGCATATGGGATAGGCATAGCCTAGGATGTATTTTTCATTTTCAGTGGAAAACATGCTGTGAGGTCTCTTGCAGTCTCCCCATTTAAGATTTATACTGTGGCTTATGGACTGATCTTGTGTGATAGCACTGTCACTGTTTCAGGAGTACTGCTAGCTCTGATCATGTAATTTGTGGTATAATGATACTTCATTTGGTGTGTTTGTAGTAAGAACACATTATCACTTAATATGGTTATTGAAAAATTGCTCAGTAACACGTGTTCTGACTGGATTGTTTTTGTGCTTGAGCTGACAGAATCATTTTTCTGATCACAGCCTGCCAGTTCACTTTGTCTTGCTACCCAGATGTACAGAATCACATCTTTGACATCTTCTCTTCTACAGATTTGTTTTCTACTGCCCTGACTTAAAGCAGAGTACCTCTGTGGCCTATCTTTCTCCTTTGGCCCCAAAATGACAGTAATCGCTGCGATCAGTTGTACTTTCTTATTTTCCATTCTCTGTGAAACAAGTGCATTAGTGTTACCCAACTCCACTGACCTACTCCTGTCAGAAAATAATTTCACTGACATTGAGACAGCTTTGGCAGCTCATCTGGACTCTGCAAAAATTCCCAAAGCCAGGCGGAAGCGCTACATTTCACAGAATGACATGATTGCCATTCTTGATTATCATAATCAAGTGAGAGGCAAAGTCTTCCCACCTGCTTCCAACATGGAATATATGGTAAGTAAACTGTTTATTTCAGAGTAAAACAAACTGTAAGCCAGTGATTTCATTTTCTTAAACAAACTGTGAGAGTTAAGTAGATAAATGGTTTTTAACTATTATTAATTGCTAAAGTGTTCTTTCCTTACATCTTTAAAGTTGCATTAACTTAAGCAAGCAAAAGCTAAATACTGAACTCTGAACCTTTTGCTTGCCCTGTTGAATTTTCATTTTGGTGAGTAGTCCCAGTGAAGCTTCTGGGACCCAAGTAAATGGTGTTGTGAGTTAAGTGCTTGTTGACCCGAGGAATATTATGTGATCACAACACGTGCTCACATGTGTTTAAAGTGCTCATCATTCGTAGCCCCATTGCTTTTGTGAAGTACACTGCCAAGTCATTGCCCAGGTCTATGCAGAGTTGTAGCCAATGACCATTTCTAATTTCTTTCACACATAATATTTTCAGAGACAATATGGTAAAACTGTTCACAAAGTAATTCATCTGATGCACTGTCTCATGCTCATGTATTTTATTAATTACACAGTGTGCACCTAATACTTGTATTTTTCCACCGAATAGAATGCTGCTTTTAAATGGTTTTCTAGTATGTAGGATTCCAGTGTGCTCAAAATGTTATGTTTGTGGCAGGTATTTTTCCCATTATTGGCAAATACTCATTATGTGAATTATCTGTTCCTGCAGGTATGAGATAAGTTATTAATTCACTGTGATTTCATACTTGGCACTACTAGCTAAAGCAGTGTGTTTGCTGTTTTGTGTTCCAACTTCGAATGCATGCATGCTTACTGTGGATCTCTAATGTTAAACATAGGTTGGCCAAGCAAACATTTTTGTTACCTTTTAAGTAAGGTATTCACACTGTTTTGTAGGCACAGGCAAGTTGTGTCAGCACCATAATACCTGCTTAAAGTTACAGAGTTCTCATATTACAATAGACAGTTAACAGGTTTGAGAAACAGGACACCATCAGCTTGACTTCAAGGGGATAATAGTAATAACAACTCCTCCTTTTTAGCAGCTAATGACTAACAGTTTGGAAGTCTTTCTATCACAGATGTTACCTAAATCTGGATTTGATCATATAATCTATTTAGCATATCCCAGCAGCACCTCAAAATGCTGAGTGCACTCAAAACATTGCAGGATGAAGGCCTGTTGCTATACCATAGGCTGAGTTTGAAGCTTGAAGTGGAAAGGTCAGCGACAGAAAAAACAGAGAGTTCAGAAGTCAGGCTCAGTCATCATTTTCATTGCTGTGCTCTCCACTGACATTTCCTTTGATTCTTCATAAATAAACTTTGTTGTAATGTCTGAGGGAATGGCAGCCTACCATGCCCTTCTTGGCTTGTATGTTTTAGAAATGTGCTCCTGCAGTTTGCTTAAGTGAAGCCAGCACCCTGACATATTCCCAAGAGTTTTGTAAGTGCAGTGTTCTTAGCCTGTTCAGTATAAAAAACTTCAAAAGACAAAGCAAGCTTCTTTTGATTAAATCTCTTTTAATGCACTCATATGCATAAACTGCCAAGATTTTACCTGTATTGATTGAGTATTCTGCTGTATTTGCTCTGCAATGGTACTGTGCAAGGTTTGATACAAAATCAAGAGTGAAGCTGTGCTCTTTACAGTTTATATGCTATTCTCTTCCTTGCTCTTCTCACTATTGCTTTTACCAGTACCAACCAGTACCTATGCCCCTGTCATCATCAGCTCCATCAGTATTCTCAAGGGCAAGGTCCAAGGCTTTCTTTGTGTGGTTTCCCAGTCTGAAAGTACTTTGTGACCTTCATGCTGCAGAATTTTGAGAACAACACCTAGAGCTACGTAGGTAATGATCCAAAGTGCACTTGGATCCCCAAGTGGCAGCCAACCCCTTTGCCACCAGTTCCCTTTCAGAATTTAGTCAGTCTGTGTGTGGCCCATGTAACTTTACAGAATGACAAAAGCCCAGTGAGCAACGTCACTCATAGCTTACTTGCTGTCTGGTTTGTAGCCATGGCATCATCTATTTAGCAACTTCAACAAATTTACCATCATCAACTTTTTATCTCTGTGGCTACAGAATGGCTTTGGTAGGTGTGTCTTAAAGGTGACACTGTGGTATAAACTGTACCAAGACTGGGGACCCCTTTATCAGTAATGCACATTTGAATTTGTTTAGCCCATTCTTTGGTCTCTGTATAATTAAAGTGTATGGCACAGCATCTGTTGTGTCTTACAGGGACATAAGATTTCCACTGTTATACAGAAAAGATGTGCCACTCAGTCCTCATTTTCATAAATAAGATAGCAAGCACATTGTCATTACCAGCAGACAATGTATACTGTGCTGAAAGAATGTTAGCGTGTTCCTGTCCTGAACACTATGGAAAAGTGCAGTGATAGTGATGAAAGTGGCCTTTCCCATTTCCCCTAACAATGACTAAAAAGGATGTCACATGTTAGAGAGCTGGAATTACTTACAGATGTAGTAGATTGTGGAAATCTCTTGTAAGTGTGTTGAAGTAGAGAAGGACTAAGCAGTTTGGAAGCACAAGAAAATGATGTTTTCTCATCTTTTCTCTCTCCACAGTCATATTAAATTTTGTTTTGTTCTTTTTTCCTAATTCTGTTAGAAACTCTGTTCTTCTCATGAATGCTGTATCACATTCTCACTTCTGTACAGTTCCATTTGCTTTTTCTTCTCTACTGGTAAGAAATTAGGGTTTAGCTATACGGTTGGTTCTTGGGATTCCAGTTCTTCGCACTCAACCTTTTTTTGGGCTTTTCTTCTTGGCACTTTCTGTTCCTTCCTCTGATGCCGTCTACTTCTCATATATTCAGTGAATTTATAGGTATTTTGAACTTCTTTTGCATTGTTCTCTCTGCCCCTACTGCCTGGAAAGTTTGTGTGCTGTAGGACTTTGGATGAGAGTTCTCAAAGAATGGCTTTGAATGCACACGTGGTAGGTAGGGGAGGTTCAGATGAACACTGCAGTAACAGAGCTGGGGGAGTGTTTTGGTTCTCTCTGGGAGAGGTGGATCTGAGCGCTGCTCCATCCTGTTGCTGCATGCAGTCCCCAATGAAAGTGGACAGCTGGGGAGTCAAAAGCAATGATGGGAGGCATTGTTCTGTTATCAGTCCCTAGTGAAAGAAACTGGTGTGTCTTATGCCAGTTAGACTTTAGGAACTTGGGACATTAGCACCCTATGTGTCAGAATTTAAAGTAGTCCTCCTTTTGGTTCTGCTTCTGGTATGCCTTCAACTGGAAGTTTTTATGCAAGTACAAATCTGGAGTCAGTGTGTATGTGAAGGAAAGTGAAAGGAAAGAAGAACTTTCAGGCCCATAATGTAGAAATAATGATCTCTCCTTTTAGTTTGGGTCGTTTTATGACATCCCTCCATTATTCCTTATCCTAAAACTGCTGTTCTTTAGTCTTTGTGCTCTAAAAGCTGATGCCATACCTGCAGAAAGAAAGAAGACACCATAATTTTGACCTGGCAAAGGGTGAAAATCATCCATTTGACTGCATATATTTTCTGGAGAAAGCAGAAAGATTCCATAAAATTCATGATGCAGAAAAAGTGAGGTGTAGAAATATTACCATAAAAGCTTGAATAGCTCAGTTGGTAGAGCACCAACCTTCAGCTATGTCTGCACATTCCAAAAGTTACATTGACCTACTCTGTTCTCAGTAAAAAAAAAAAATGTTAGGAAGATACTTTGGCTTACAGAATTGCCTGCAGCTCTCTAGTGTGAAAGGTATGTAAATCTACAAATGCAGTGGAAGTCTGAACAAACAAATCCCGCTCTTTGAATGCTAATTCTGTACTACAGAGGACTGCATTGCCTTGCTGGAACATCTCATCTACTCGGTAGGCCAGTAAAGATTTGCAGTATGTTGCCAACTGAACTTTGAGTCTCATAAAACATGTCATATAGTATTCATTGTTACTATCTTTAGGCTCCCCAAACTTTCATTAATGAAATATCAGTTCCTATGAGAATCACTGAATGGTCTAGGTTGGAAAAGACCTTGAAGATCACCTAGTCCAACCATTAACCTAACACTGACAGTTCCCAACTACACTGGCCACCTGGGCACACTGCTGGCTCCTGTTCAGCCGGCTGTCAATCAACACCCCCAGGTCCCTCTCTGACTGGCAGCTCTCCAGCCACTCCTCCCCAAGCCTGTAGCGCTGCTGGGGGTTGTTGTGGCCCCAGGGCAGCCCCCGGCATTTGGCCTTATTGAAACTCCCCCAGTTGGCCTCAGCCCTTGGCTCCAGCCTGTCCAGGTCTCTCTGCAGAGCCTCCCTGCCCTCGAGCAGATCAACACTCCCACCCAACTTGGTGTCATCTGCAAACTTACTGAGGGTGCACTCGATCCCCTCGTCTTGATCATCAAACATTATTTTTACCTTCCTACAGTCATCGTCACCTGAGGCCAGTTTATTATTTCATATGGTCTTTGTTGCAACCCAAGTCACTGCATGCATACAAAACCTGGTTGAGCAGGTGCTTACATATAGGCATGCTCTTCAGAGTTTGACATGCACCAAACAGAAGCAGTAACTCTGATACAGCTGGGCCTTCATGAGCATTGAGTGCTGTCCTCCATGGCATTCCCGTAGGCAAAGTGGGGAAATCTGTTTTAGTTGAGTACTGTAAGGTAATCTGAATAACTTCTTCAAGAGCCATACTGAAGGATAAACCATGAGTAGTTCACTGCTGGCTCTGCAAGAATGAGTTCTGATCCCACGACTGATCAACATAGTCATTAGTAGACTGGCAGTAGCATGTCTAAAATGTAATGGGACAGGATTTCACACTCAAAAACATGAATCTGAATGTTTGCAGCATGCCGTCTGAAGATTTTGAGAGCATAAAAATGATTTGGATAAACTTGAGCCTGCTTATGTATAGAAGATGTTCTAAAATAGTTTAAATTCCTTTTTGTTTAGTGATTGCATAAATGCACTTTTATATTTGGGAAAATCTGCCCCTTGTTGAACACGTTA